TGCCGAGGCGCCCCGTCACCGCCACGTCACCCGCCGTCCCGGGGGCCGACGTCGAACGAGGGGAGGCCTGCATCCCCAACTGCAGGACTGGAGGCGGGCCGCGGCCGAGAGAGCCGCTCGGTGCGGCAGCTCCGCCGCTCGTGTGGCGGAGCTGGGTGGAGTCACTGACGGCCCGGCTGGAGGCCACATCAGCGTCAAGTGGTACAATTGGCATCAGCAATGAAGACAATGAAGTCACGAAAACACTCCAGCCGACACATGCATGCATGCAATTTAACGGAGGTGATAGCAAGCGCAGATGTCCACATCAATTCCCCTATGACTCGTACTGCAGGCTGTGCGCCGTGCGTATCCGCCTCTACAACCGCACGCAAACAGACCCGGTATTTCCACCATTCCCTTCGATCTACGGGAGCAACGGTTTCTCTTCCTTCCCGTCCGGCTCGTCCCAGGGCGCCGCCGAGCGAGCGAGCGAGCGGCGGGCAGCCGGCCGGCGCGTCCTTCAGCAGCCGGCGTCTGATCCGGAGATACTGTGCAGCCCGGCGGCCAGATCGCGTGCTCCGGCGTCGGATCGGCCGCTGAGCGCGCCCCGAAAGGGACGCGGGCGCGGCGGCCGGAGGCGGCGGCGGCGGCGGCGGCGGCGGCGGCGGTGGCAGCCGCCGCGGCAGCACACCTGCCTCGCCATGGCCGCCGCCGCCGGCGCGTCCACCCTGAGCCAGTCTCGGGAGACTCCCTGGGAGCCGGCTGCTCGGGTGCAGCGAGCTGGACCTTATCTCTGGAGACCGACTCCGGATGGGAGAGGTCTGAGGGGAGCCGGGAGAGGCCCGGAGGGGGCGGGCTCTTCTCTGTGGCGAGCGACTCCGGATGGGAGAGGTCTGAGGGGACCGGGGAGAGGCCCGGAGGGGGCGGGCTCTTCTCTGTGGCGGGCGGCTCCGGATGGGAGAGGTCTGAGGGGGAGCGGGGAGAAGCCCGGAGGACGCGGGCTCTTCTCTGTGGCGGGCGGCTCCGGGAGAATAAAGAACGAAACCGCCTGCCGTCTGACCGACTGCGAGCTCGGCTGGCTGTGATTCAGCGTTCGGCTCTGGTCCGCGCGCCTGACTCGGACCGTCACGAGCGCGGCGGTCGGCAGAGAGCCGGATGCGGAGGTAGTGCTGCTGCCGGGCCGGCAGCTAGGTGACCTCATCCCCCGCCCACCGGCACCGGAGCCTCAGTCACGAGCCGCTGCAGCAGCCGAGCACGCCCCCAGCTGACGCCATTCAGACCGTCCTTTCCCGTCCTTGACCGGAGAACCTGTTGAAACGAGCAGCGCGCGGCGACGCGCGCTCGTGACAACCCCGAACGCCATGCTCCGTAGCGCACCAGCAGCCAGCCCCGTCTAAAGCAGGAGCACCGAGCGACGAGACAAGCGGACAGACCTCGTCCCAGCAGCATCGAGACGGTCACTGTCGCAGCGCCACCGCGTGGCCCCCTCGACGGACTCGCCGAGGCCGCCGCACTTCCAACGCTGGCCAGCCAGCCGACGTCGGACAAAGGGTATAGACACATCACGTCAGCGGCGTCCTTGGCGCCGTCGTAATCCGCGCCCGGCAGCCGGACGGAAAACACCGCAGCCCATTGCAGGACGTGCAAGAGGCACTGTTTTCTAAAGAATCCGATGCCGGTAACGTACCAGCACCAGGCTAGGTGCATGGGGTTAAAGGCCTTGAACCGGCCCACGTTTAACTGCTGGCGGCTCCAGATACATTCAATACGGACCATCATTTGTTGGTGGCGCCGAGGCTGCGCCGAGGCTCGCGTATTGTCAGCATCCGCACCGCTCTAATATTCCTACTCATGCAGCATCGGTTGCGGGTACCGCGGCACCGCAATCTTGCATCACGCGCGGCGCCAAATGCGACAGACGCCGCCGTGCTGGTCTGTCGGCCAAATACCGCAGAAGCGGAGACGCCCGGCAAACCCCGCGATTGCCGGATAACCCGCCCAGCCCTGCGGCGAACGGACGCCAGCAGTCCGTCCGAGACGCGACAGCATGCCGTGTGGTGTGTCAGAGCCGACACCGGTGGACACGGCAGCCTGCCGAAGACACTCCGGCATGCCAGCCGGCGGAGCAGACCGCCATCAGCGGCTGTGACGGTCACTTCCGGGCGCGGACACGAGCCGCCGGCCGGGACAGCACCGGCCCCGGCACCGGTGCGCGACCCGAGCACGCCGCCCGACCCGTCCGGCCGGACCGACTGACCGCCGCCCCGCGGGTCATCACCCGGCACGGTCCGGTCCCGGCGCCCACCGCCACCCGTGACCTGGCTGCGCGCGCGCATGCGCGGCACGCCGCCGGCAGCGCGGGCCGCCCGTAGCCGCCCACTCACCGTGCTGGCCGAGCCGGGCCAGCGCGGCGGCCGGCCGTGCCGCGTCCGAGTCGGACCGGTTTCATCTCCCCGTGGCGGTACGCAGCGCGGCCACTCGTGCTGCGGCGAAGGTCGGCCCAGCCAGCGGCGCGATGGACGAGCTGTGCGCGCCACGCGCGACAAAAACAGGCTGCGCTCCCGAGACTGCGACGGGCGAGCGCACCGGCGGCGCCGGCCGCTCGCCACCGCCAAGAATAACGCGGTCGGGTGCGCTTCTGGCGCCTCTCCGCAAACAAACTGAACGGAGATCAGCACGCTGCGGGGTTGCGTTTAAAAATAAATATGGAACGAAAAGAAATATCACCCAAGATTCGTGAGCGAGGACGCGCCCATCAGCACAGACCTTTCAATTACACGCATGCGCATAGGACAATCGTAAACGCAGCTTTAATCTGGGTTTTCATTGATTTGCTGTTCACGCGGATTCTGTTTATTTTTCGTTTGTTTGAAACTGAACAGTATTTTTATGGTCTGCCTTTTCGTAGCCTGGTACCGAAACCGACCCAGTGGCATTATGTATTACTTAGTAGCTCACATCTTACGAAGTGTCGCTATTAAGTAGCAATCACGAGTCCGATATTTCAAAAACAGATTGGCAGGGGTGTATACAGACATGAGCTCGGGTCGCTGATGCGAAGGTTTTAATCACGATTTTGGTCCCTGCATGTTGAGCTTAGTGTGTCACGCGTTTAAGGCAAATCCTCACAGTAAACAATTGCAAGTTAATTTCATCCAGTCGTGCAGACCCGCATCAATGATTGCTGGGATCCAGCAACATATACTTCCAACCTAATCACATAGTGCTGTCCACGGAGGTGCTTCCCAGTCTGCCTGGGGGCTCCGGCAGCATGACAGCCGCCATCACGGGCCAGGAGATCGCTGCCAGCTCCCCTGATGTACCCATTCGGGCGTCCCACTGGTCGGATTACGATGTTCTCATCACACCACAATGGGAGCCCGCCGGCGGCGCAGGGTCGACGCCCAGCGTCCCGGGCTCAATGCTACCACATGCGACCCTGTCCTCATGCAGGCAAAGGAAGTTCCTGACAGCTGTGCTGTCACCTGGAAACAAGTTAAAAATGGCCCGTACAGCTACCAGCGTCTTCTTCAGGAAGATAGACATCACAACACATCACGTGGCACGGAGGTGGTGAGAACAGGTTTTAAGACCGATCTCCGACAAGTTCCGAGTGACAATCCTAAGCGCAACGCGTGGGGCCTCCAGGAGCCGACATGCCATAAAAGAGCATACTTTCTTTGCGACGCTTCAAGGCCAACTTTTCTCAAGCCTGGCAGCTGTCCTGCGTTATGCCCGATTTAAAGGACTGCCTATTTATGTGAATGAGAATGACTTCAGCTTTGTCCTGCGTTGCTCAAAACCAGGCACCTAAGATCCACACAGAATTAACGGTTAATCGATCGTGACACGTATATGGCTGGTTGGTATTCGGAGATCCCATGTGCAATGCCATAACAAACCGATACATAGCACGCAATATTTTATAACCTGACGAAATGCATTGATAACTTTTAAATAACCTGAAGATCTTATAAATAACCACCATCTTATAGCGATCATTGATAATCTTTACTAAGTATATCTTGCTTCAGAATCAAGCTGTACAATTTCTTAGAGAGTTCGGAGCGTAAACGGCGTGAGTTCGGGCCCAAGAATTGTTTAGCGATTTAACAAGAATCTCTATAGATTGTCATTTCAAGAAGAATGACTAGGAGTTTTTAAAAAATCCAAACGCACAAAGGCACAATGCATCCTTTCCCGATCAGGGATGTTGTATATGGTTTATGGCATGACCTCGCTACTTGGCTATGTGACCTTCCTTAGCCTTCACAAACTAATGTTTTTATATACCGAAACAAAGAAACATAATTTCATTTCATTACACCTAAAATCCACCAAAGCTGAACACTTAGCTGGACATACAAACACAAACCTACACACAAAACTGGGTTATTATGTTGCGTGTTGTTCGCCGGCCCTGTAGTTTTACCGCCTTCATTAAAAAAGCTTCGCTGGCAAACTTGGTCATCAAATGATACTGCAGCAAACCCTTGGATAGCCTATAATGTTCATTTGCGTTCGAAATGAGCAGTTCAGAATGATCATCGTACGGATTAACCATGTACAGATATTCATGCACATGAGCTCAACGCCCACCTCCAACCACACCACAAAATTCGTTCGACGGGCGCCAACCCGCGAATTTGGGCTGATTCGACTCGCGGATTTGAGACGGATGATCACCGCCATCGTTGTAGCCACGCCCAGTTTCCGCAAATACTGACTGCGCGACTTTGAAGGGCAACAGGTTCAATGCCTTCCTTGGCGGAATTACCACCCGTTGGCTGTGAGAAACTATGTGGTAGAAAATAGCCAGCGATCGACCATAAGCATGAGCATTGCAAGAGCTGCACCAACTTAACTGGCCCGCACGAGTTCAACCTCTGTAGCACGTCCGACGGAAGAAGCGATTAAAAGCTGCTGCTGTCACCAACCAGCTCTTACAAATCAGCTCCAGGCTTGCACCGCGCTGAGGCAGGCACACCGCAGTCCCAGCAGCACGAGCGGCGACCGACCTGGGCGTGGGGGCGCTGGAGCGCGCCTTGGAGAGCAGCTTGCGCGCGCGCTCGTACTCGTTGTTCTCGGACTCGAGCTTGACAGCGGCCAGCCAGATCTCCTCCGAGTTGGGGTTGGCTTGGAAGGCCATCGACAGGATGGAGCGTGCCGCTGGCACGTCCCGCTGTCGGCCGGGGAGTCGGGGTCAGTCAGAGCGCCCGCGCCGGTCCGGACCGGGTCCAGCGCCGGTTACGCAGGTCCAGCCTGGCCCAGACGCGGTCCAGACCGGGTCCAGCGCCGGTCCGGACCGGGTCAAGCGCCGGTTACGCGGGTTCGGCCTGGCCCAGACGCGGTCCAGACACCTGGCCGGACGGTCAGTGTGGTCCCGCGGCGAAGCAAACGGTGGTCAGAGGTCACGATATCGGCAATAAGGAATGCGAGATAAGCATCAGCCGAGAAGTGATGGCTCCGCTGAGGTCACTGAGCTGCCGCGTGCTCGCAGGATATCATAATCACATGGTGAACGGGGCGCAGACAGCACGACATATGGTAAATATTTATGATGGCCGCCGAAGCGTCAGTCTGAGCAGGATGAAAGTAACGGTGGTGTAAATGGTCCAGATCACCACGTATGAAAACACCAGGGACGACACGGTCTCCTACAAGTCGCATTCTTAATAGGCTACTTCCGTTGATGACTCTGGTCCAAAAGGACCGCTGTGGTCCTTCCGACAAGATCACACCGACGAAGCGGTCAGTGTCAACTATGGAAGTCAGATGCAGTTGCACTTTCAAACGCTTCAGGGAAGCATAATGGTTCAGCGACGCGACCGTTCAGCGCAGGTATCTGAGTACCGATAGAGTAGTGGTTCCACTGCCCGTCTGGGAAACCTGGGGTGCGGGGTTCGACACCAAGCGGTGCCCCCCTTTCCTGCACGGGTGAGACAGGCCACACCACATAGCCTCAGCAGCTGAGCGCATCAGAAAGCTCCAATGACAACAAGAGCAAGTATCAAATCCCGTTAATCGGGATTTTTACCGTAAATGTAAATGTAAATGTACCGTATTTGTAAATGTACCTGTGGCGGTACAAGCCGTTCCAACGAGCCGAGCGCCGGCAAGCATTCCCCCGACTCGCGCCGCTGTAGCCCGGCAGCGGTGCTCCCCACTCCTCACTACTTACCGCCAACCACTTCGACTTGGCGCCCATCAGCCAGAGCACTTCAGCTCTGGGGCAGTGCAAAACGGCCTGCTGCAGCAGCGTCTCCAGACTCTCCCTGCAACGACAGCAGGATCTCACAACCGGCACAACGTCATCACAAACATGACCTTCCTTGAAAGGCAACACACAGAAAACGGTGGCGGCAGGAGCTGCCGCGCGGCACGCTGAGCAGGGGTCACGTCTTGGTCACGGCGGCGGTGCGTGACCTTGCCACGCCGTGACGCCAGTCGTGACGGAGCAGCCGGTCAGGACCGACTGATCCGGTCAGGACCGACTGATCCGGTCAGGGACCGACTGATCCGGTCAGGGCCGACTGATCCGGTCAGGGCCGACTGATCCGGTCGGGACCGACTGATCCGGTCACCGACTGATCCGTCAGACGAACACACACACCCCGCTCAGGATGCAATGGCATACAAAAAACATGACAAGGGAGCCAAGAGATTCCTGATTCCAAGCACGACTACGTGACCCCTCTTTAATTTGCGTCCAAAACGGGGCAGTGGTCTCCCGCGGAGAGTGAGAGCGAGATCGGAGCGCACACCGCACGCCGCGCGCGGGCCCAGCCGCCCGCCCGGCCCCACCTGGTGCCGTGTGACTTCTCGAAGTACGCGGCCGCCAGCCAGATGGACTTCTTGCTGGGGTACGCGGCCAGAGCGTGCGCGTAGATGGCGCGCGCACACTCGACGGCGCCTTGCGCGGCACACGCCTCTGCGTCCTCCATCCACTGGCTCTTGCGGTCCTCTTCCTCGACGCCGTAGCCGATGACGGCCGTGATAACGGCCTGGCACGTCAGCGCCGAGCCGGCGCGCTCGCACTGCACGGCGTCCTTCAGCCAGAACTCGCGGTTGATCTCGACGCCGTTGGCCGAGAGCGAGGCGATCGCACGCTCCACAATGCGCACCACCATCGGCGCGTTATCGTTGGCCTCCTCGAGCTTGGCGGCCGACAGCCAGATCTGGCGGTCTGTCGGCACGTTCTCGCGCGCCTTGTTCAGCACCTTGCGCGCGTTCTCGTACGTCTCGAGCCGCGCCAGCGCCAGCCACAGCTCGACGGCCGTCGGGCAGCACTCGACGGCGCGCGACAGCAGAATGCGCGCGTCCTCCGCCTCCTCTAGCTCGACAGCCGCCTTCCAGAGGCGCACCGAGTTCGGCTGCAGCTCGAGCGCCTTGCGGAACACGCGCCGTTTGCCCTTGAGCTCGAGCTCGAGGTCGGCGGCCTTCAGCCAGAGCCGGACCGAGTTGGGCAGCTGGCGGACGGCCTGCGCCACCACGCCCTTGGCCGTGTCGGGCGGCTGCAGACGCGCTGCCTCCAGCCACACGTCCTCGGCGTTGGGGCAGGCCTCGCAGCCCTGCCGGCGGCGCCAGAGTGGGTCAGTCTAAAGGCCGGCCGCACTGCCGCCCAGCGAGGGGCGCCGGCAGTGGCGGACCAGGGACCACGTAAGGGGGATAGCGGCCGCTAGCGTCACCCCTGGCGACACCCCCTACTATTCGGACCCGAGGGTCCACAAAGTATGCCGATGCTGCAGATGCTTGTGAGATGACATACTCCTATATCTTACTGATACACTATAGAAATCGCTTCTTAAGTCTGGTTAATACACACAATAAGCTGAACGCTATGTTGCCTATCAATAACTACAGCCCTAGAACGACAGGCCATTTCATGTTGTCCTATAGACAGGCGGTACAGTACGGTCGGCCCATGTTAACGCTGGATATGTGACTCGATCATCGGGCCCCGCTGCCCATGACGTATTCTTGCGACGAGCCATGCGTCGGAACCGAGACCAGCACGACACGCACAGGACGACATCGCAAAGACGAGCCATGCGTCGGACCGAGACCAGCACGACACGCACAGGACAACATCGCAGCACCACGAGTCCACAGGCGACCGCCCCGACCACTCGCTACCCACGCAAGACGACCCAAACAGTCCTGCGCACATCCCGGCGCCGTATCGCACGCTGCCCTGAGCACCCGATGCTCCCGGACCGGACCGGACCGACCGGGTGTCGCCCCGCCTGCTCACCTTCATGATGAGGTTGCGCGCGTTCTGCAGCTTGCCGGTGACCTCCTCGAGGCGGGCCGAGGCGATCCAGGCGGGCGGGTGCTGCGGGTTCGTCTCGCGCACCGACTTCATCAGCAGGCGCGCCTTCTTGATATCGCTGCGCGCGGGGTCCGGACGGTCAGAGGTCACCGAGTGTCGGCCGCGGTGTCGGCCAGACGCCTCAGCGGGCTGTTGTGACGGCCAACGCAATGGCGGGGATCGGTACATGGCAAAGATTCAGACGAGATGAATTGTAGACACGACTGCATCGGTTCAGCCCCTCGTGCCGGAGTTGCAGGGGACACTGAATGACTAGCGCCGGATAATGAAAGCGGAATTATAAGAGAGATTCAACAGCTGATAGCTCACCATGGCGATTAAGTGATATCCGAATGAAACATGAAATGAGAGACAGCTGAACGGATCAAAATGGCATTCTAGACGAACACAATTACAGAACTTGCCGCACAAAGTCCCTAACACCGCGCAAGAAGCCAACGCCGATAAAACGTCGACAAAGGGCCCAGCCCGTGCCATCTCCCGGTCCAGCCGCCGCTGCTTCCACTCGCGCTCACTTGATGTCGGACGAGAAGTTGGGAATCATGCCCTGCAGGTCGGTGAGGTAGCCCTTCGGGTCAACCACCGTCTGGCCCGACACCGAGTCGGACACCTGGTTCAGTTTGACGTTCATGAGCGTGTTGCGCGCCTGGCCGATCTTGCGCAGGTCGAGGTCGCCCGAGGGTGTCACCATGCCGGGCGCCATGGACGCCGTGCCGGGCACGATCGAGGCTAAGCCACTGCTGGCGTCGATGCTGTGCACGCTCTCGCCGCCCAGACTTCGGCCCAGCACCGAGTCGGGCAGCGGCGTGAACTTCTCGGCGCGCGGGGCGCGCTGCTTGCGGTTCCGCGCGTCGCCCACCTCGGGCAGGTTGTCCCAGTCGTCTTTGGAGACCTGCACCAGGTCTCGCTTCAGGTCGGAGAACTGTTGCTGGATCTTGGGCCGCTCGGCGCGGTACCGCTCCAGCTCCTCTGCAGGTGGGCGCGGCGTCAGACGGCGGGAGAGGGGGGGGGGGGGGGGGTCCGAGGGAGGAGTGTTAGGGAGGTTGGGCGTCAGATGGTTCGGGGAGTTCAAACATCGAGCGCGATGGACGATGGATGGTTGCAGGAGGTAGGCAGCTCCACACAGACACTGGACAACATTCGGCAGACAGCCGCCGACGGTGATCCGATTCTGCAGCCGAAAGCGAGGTTGAAGCACAAAACCAATGTTTGGTGTTGGGAATTTGCACTGTTTCAAAATATAAGATGCCCATGGATGGGCGCGATGGGAAAACAACAACAACTATGTAACCCACACTGTGAGACAAGGAGAACCAAAGTCCCATGAAACGCCCAATCGTATAGTGGTAAAAAATGTTAAGTTTCGAATGCCTTCCACACCGCACAATCACACAATCATAGATCAATAATACATGATCATCCGCCCCTCCAGAATGGTGGACCGTAGGGTCACCTGACCTCCACATGAAACAGGCGTATCCAATACCGATCACCGCGGTGCCCGCACGTGCAGACGGTCCCTACATGTCACCGGCACCATAGCGTCCAAGGCTGTTTGCATTGCGGAAGCTTCTACAGACGAGCACCACCACTCCGCCGGCTGCAGTGGACCGGTGTGCAAACCTTTGAGCTTCTTTTCGCGGTATTCCTTGCGTTTCTCGTCCATACGCTCGTCGACGGCGTCGTAGATGGCGTCGGCCTCCTCGTCGTCCTTGTCGTACGGGTCCTTGTTGAACAGCGAGCCGCCGTACCCTGTGAACTGCACGGCACGGACGGTCAACGGCCGCGCTGCTCTTCAACAGGACGGCACGGTACCTCGCGGACCTCAATGGTGTCCGGCGGCACACAGACACGGCCGCAAGCATCTGCTGGATAGCGGGCTGTCCCGCAATGTAAATCCGGCAACTAGCAGCAAATGGCAGGCACTTTAGGCGTGAACTAACACAAATATTGTGAGCTACACTCTCATGGCTGATTAGGAAGATTCGCTGAGCACCACACGGATCGCATCACACCGAAAAATCCTATCAACCATCTTTGTGGGGGGACATCCGTTTAGCAAGAAGTAGTGGGAAATGGAAGCTTCAGCACTATATACCAGCTCGTCGTTCTCAGTATTCATCCAGCAAGGTGTAAAGCATGCAACTATAAGCTGGGCCCATCCAGGCCCATCAATCAAGTCTGAAGAGCTTCGATACTGGGCTGACATCCGCCCGGTACGATGCTGCTCGACAAATTTTGAGCAAGGGGTGCCGCAATATGCAGTACAACTCAGTGCAGGGATGCAAAATCGGGAAAAAAGTCGCGACAGCCCTGCCACACAAGCGACCGAATATTGCAACCCTTGTCGTTCTTGCCCTTGGGGTTTTACGACAACCTCAGCAGCTGGGACTATACGACATCGCCTGCCTGTCACTCTGTAAGGTAGGGCGGTGAAGCTGCGACCACGTGAAACTGAACCCGGTACCTCTGGTTTCCCAGACACGCCGTGAAACCCCCGCGCTACTGACACTCCCTGCCTCGGTCTGGTTATGGTGGGTTCTGTTCAGACAGTTCAGTCAAGACCGGTGCATTCACATGCCAACCAGTTCTCTTGTTTGCATCGCCGCTCCTGTCCTGGTGGCCCCGGTCGTGGTGAGAGCACGGCGGCACGGACTCTATGCGGTGTCACAAAGCTGCCATCCTTGCTACGTGGAATGCGCGGAACACATGGAATACTTTGACTTTGCTCTGAGCGCACAGCTGCGAAAAGCTGTGGTGCGGGGACAAAAGCCACACAAAGTTTGCGGCAGACAAAGCACCTGTATAACAGGCAATGTGGTGAAAATGCATCACACAGATGCTAATTTGCGTCATAAAATTGGTTCTAAATACACGTCAATGATTAAGAGCATCCTAAAACCGACGGCAATACAAAACGCTGAAGCAGGCTAAGAGCTAACCGAATGACTTATTGACAACCGAAAACACAACACGTGATGTAATGTGATTCGCTGCCATCCTGCGCTAACCAAATGCCTGCTAGGCCATCCCTCATGACGGATGTTTCACAAAAACATACGACAACGATGCCGCAACTTCATGCTGATAAGGATACAATGAATATCACAATGCTTTCACAATTTTGAGGCCTTCATGCATGTCACCTGGAGTGCCAGAAACTCGTCGTAACTGTGGCTCGTACCAATGGATCTGACACGTGATGCCCCATAAGGACGTCAAAAGTTACCTCATCGTAGTTGGACTCGTTAAGATCGGTTTCGTCGTCTTCGTCATCCTTTTTCCGCCGCTTGGGCGGCGCGGCGTGCCTCTCGTCCCTGCAGTTCGGCCATGTGTCAGGTGCAGTTTAAGCCTTGACCATAAGTACCTCGGAAGTGGTATGATTCACCAACAGCCCAGTCACTGATGCTTGTAGTTCAAGAAGTAATGCTATTATCAAACCAAGCCTGCTCAGGCCAGTAATGCTAGAAGGAAATGACACAATGAGCAGCCTACAACAACCTTGGATAGCAGAGGAAAAGTGAGCACTTCAAGAACCCAGCTCGTGGAAACAGCCAGCCTGCATTTTGGGTACTTACGATACGTCAGTCGCCTGCCTCGCAGGTCCGATATCTGATCGGGTGGTGAAACCAGTTGCTCTGAAAGGAAGACATGCAGGTAAATATGTGCACAGCAATATGTAGTAGCCAATAATATTCAGATTGCTACAGTATGCAGTACTGTACTGCACTGTGTTGTATTATAGCATTACTTGCACTTGGAGTGGAACCGTTACTCCGACAAATTTGAGTAACTCGGAGTTGCATTTCAGTCAACTTCTTTTCAATGTTATCACTTATGAGGTAATTCAAAAATAAAGTTTTCTGAAGCTAAAATCAGTATACTGACAGCTTACATCAGCAACAAAAAAACTACAGACTGCTGGTACTGCTTTGTCATAGTCAAAAGCTACACCATTTTCTATCTGCATGCGCACCCCTGAAAAGTGTCATACCATACAACGTTGATAAAAATGAAGTAAAAAACAGATGAAAAGGAAATCAGATCTGCAAATGAAATAAATTCCATCAGCCAGAATTCATGAATTTCACCATACATGCTTGAGTTGGTGATGGACACAACTAAAAATTGGGCTGTGCTGCCTTGAATCAGGAATGATATCAGTAACAGGCACTGTGACATGTGGGCCATTCAAAATAGGTTCCAAATATGTGGTGTGAAACAGAAAGATGGTGGCACCTTACTTCCATTCCATGGCCGTAACAACATGCTTAAGATCCATAATACTGCCTAGCACCTCCCTTCATGTCTATGGGAAAATTATCTCTGTAGGCTGGCATGCTAGTGACATGCCCTGTTCACCCATGCTCAAACAGCAATACTGCACACAATCAGGTAATCAGAGTGCATTTCTATGCAACTATAAACATTTGCTGAATTTTAATATTTCAAAGAAACACATAAGAGGCTGTATATAATTTTGGAATATAGTTTCATGCAATGGAACAAGACAGCACACTTACAAGATCAACATCATCTTGTTTATATAATAGTCAATGGTATTAAAAACCAGTAACGTGCCAGCAGCCTCATCAGAAAAACATGATGGACTGGCTTGTTGCCTTTGACTGTCAATGAACATTACATTTTCAACAGGAATGGACTCAAAAACAATCCAGTTTTGAACAACATGCCCAGAGAGTAAACAATTATCCAATTTTTTCCACATTTATTCCTGGATACTTTGGGAAGGCCAGGTCTACAACAAGTTTAATATTTTACAATACACATGGCAAAGCATGAGAAGACTAGCTGCCCATAAATTGAAAGCCTGATCAGTGCCGGAAACGATCAACTGCTAACAAAGGCCTGATCTTTGGGTTCAAAGTCCTAAACACCAAAAGTTATCAGAATTGCTAATCCCAACACTTTCAAATAGGACTAAATATCTGCATTACAAATGAACTTTATGATAGTAAGTAGCATATCTGTCTCACAATTGGCATACATAAATGAGCATTGCTACTCTTGATAAGGGAGCTTTGATAACAAATACCAAAGTGAGGAACACTGCATTCAGCATTTTCATTGAGAATTAACCAGCATTTGCATGACAGGTTTCAGGCTTAGTGATCCAAACAATGCATAGTTCTTGTGTTGCTACTCATCAATATTATAGGGTACACCAACTAAGATAATAATTTTACAACCATAACAAAGTTTTCACCTAACTAGTGAATTGTGAAAATGACCTCAGTATGAAGACAAGGTATGGCTCAATCAATCTGAACAATTTTCCAAGCTCTGAACCAAATACAATGCCATAAAATGACAAATTTTCATAACACGTTTCATTTATTCCAATAGAATGCATGCAAATGACTATCCTTAATGCGTGATTACCAAACAGTACTTAAATATTGACGGATGCACACAATGTGGCAAACGTCACGCATTTCACACAAGCTCATACCGACACGAAACTACGAGGCAAAGCAGTGCCAAATAAAAAGACAACAATGCACAAAATTACGTACCCTCTTCCGACACCAGCAACATATCCAAGGGGTGATGGTAGCCCAATAAAAGTCTTTTAGCCTTAGCCACAAGGGCCGATGGATGCGGAACGTTCGGCGCGCTCATTTTGTATGGTAAGTGTCATAAACGAAACAGCCTTGAATGGATTGTAGAGAAACTTTTTCAAATGAAAGGTTAACAAATAGTTATGATAAACAATCTTTTTTGGTGAAACCCGTTTTTCAGAACTCACTTCAATTAATGTGTGATAAAGATATATTAACGGTTAAAGTTGTCTCTTATATGGAACTTCTTATCTCATCTCTATTTGCGCGCGTTTCGAAAACGACTGACCTGAGACATACGAGAGGGTCTGGGTCTGAACACATATGCCTACCCCCGCGGTGTCCGCCCTTCCTGCCAGGGTGAGAGGCAGGCGACGCCATATAGCCTCAGCAGCTGAGTGTGTCGTAAAGCCCCACTGACAGACACATATGCCTACGTCTGCCCGTCGTGTGCGCTAGGAGCAAAAGTAGTTCCGCGTGTGGAGTCTAGGATTCTGGTCCGGCACCAGCGTATAGTATTGCAGTTATTCCGCTCTAAATTACTGTGTGAAATGTACCAGTGTCATAACGAATGGAAGTTCAAGTCATCGTGCTATTATTTCATAGGGTGTTTTCATCTATTCTCTCCCAGAATTGTGATTGGTCAGTGTTAATATTCAAGATATGAGCTTTTTAAGTGAGCTTAGTTGCAAATTATGTATTTTGCCTGCATTAATAATTATTGATCACTCATCTTGTATGGCTGCAGTTGGCACAGTTTGATGCTTCTAAATATTTTTAACATATGTTGCTAATGCAAAGCAGCTTTGAACAATTTAATATGGTGATATTGTCACATGATGAAATCATGTAACAATGACAAATATGCTTGGCTGCAATGCCAGCCATAAGATAACAGAATATTCAATAATGCAACATAATAGGGTTCATTATCAATGCAATCACATGAATATATATACATAGCATGACTGCCAGCATTCATGTCCTGTCAACAAGATGGTGTATGTGGCAGCTTGACATCTGTAGACTCCACACATTTTCTGATAACACTTAAGTTAATGAAAGTAGCTATTAATTGAAATGAAGGTTGTATAGGGGAAGGGAAATTTGATTGATTTGCACAAAATTTGTCTTGCATGGACATGTCTATCAATATAATGATGCATGTTTGCAGTCTTTCAAACCTCAGTGACATAACTGACTTTCCATTTAGTGTCATTTCCTCTTTCCTTTTAAGCTTGCATGATCTCTATGGCATTTTGTAAATAATACTCTTGATAGCTGCAATATCTATGTTTTATATGCCTTACAATAATATGGGGATATTTTATTTGCAGGCATTTACAGATGCTTGTGAACAGCCATGAACATTGACTTTGATGACCTGTTTGATACTGAGCCAGCAGAAGATATAGAGGCTGTTCATGAGACTGAAGTTCAGTCTGATGGGAATGAAAGTGGTAATGAAGCTGATGAAAATGCTGAAACTGAGCAAAACAAGACAGGTATGTTGTGTAGTTAAGGCATACTCAGAGGATCAGTAACTTCTCTATTCAGTTGGATCTGCTTGCTAGGTTAGAGGTGTGTCTGATTGGTTATGATGAAGAGAAACATTGATTTTCAATCTTCTGATGCAGGGAGCATAAAAATATTGTTTATGATTGTAGAGGCAGCTATCTGGTTCATAATCCACTGTGGGACACCTTAGACCACTGGAGGTACATTATAAAGGGAAGAGGTCAACATGTTGAGTGGGCCTGATACTTATGTCATTTGTTGAGCGACTTATGTGCCATGTGAATAACATTGAGTTTGATCTTGATGGATTTTGAGGGGCACCTAAGTGGGAATCAGGTTGTCATCAAACCAAATGTTAGTCAAATATAATGGCAAAACAGCCCCTGTTTTGCAAGTATATCTGCTGTATCTGGGTCTGACTTTCCTACTGAGCAGGTGTGAAATACAACATGTCTGTGCTGAGAGCTCAGTTGGCTAGAGCACCTGCTTTCAATGCACCAAGTCATGGTGAGGTGATTTCTAGTCACTCTAGAGTGCTCACTGTTTGCTCCTGATTGCGGTTGCCGATGGATGGTGGCAGCGGTCTCGCTGAAGGCTGGCCGACGTCAAAGGGCAGGGCGGGCCTTGCCGAGCTTGCAGGATGTTAAGTTTTTGCTGCAAATCCTATCATTGACTTCAAATTTTATGATCAGATAGCGGGGTCAGGCCTTTCGCAGCAAACATTGCTTAGTGTGAGGACTTCGTCCTGACATAAATCTAAGTAAAAGATTTAGGCATGATCCTTTATAAAGCACACACATTAAGTGATGTGCCAGAAATAGCGGTCGTTTTACAAACATGCATGCTAGCGTGTGGTCGTTGGTTATATTATAGTGAAAACACCATTTTACCACTTGGATTGTGAATGACCAGCAACGAGTTGAGTCATTTAGATGTGGTTATAAGAAGTTTAAACCACCAGAAGGACTGGTATAAAGTAAGAACTGTCGTCTTGCCCACTCTGGACTCAGCGATGTGTGACATGTTTATATACCCTGGCGACTGGTTTTTGTATCGCCCAGTACAATGTTGGGTCACATCAGCTGATGCTGCCATTCACGCAGTTTGCACGCCAATGCCAGATCTGTGCTGAATGTTGGCTATAGTGCAGCTGCAGTTGGCCGCCCTCTGCACTGCGGACGACGTGGACGTGCTCGCTGCCGCAGATGACGTGGACGTGGACGTCGGTGACGGTAAAGCCAAGAAGAAGCGCGTCTCGCGGCCCCAGCCTAAGCTGAACGGCGACCGGCTGTGTGGCGCGCGCGGCATCGGCATCATGGAGCACACCTTCTCGGGCGTGACATTCCAGGGCCGCGGGCACGAGCAGGCCGACCTCGCCGTGCTCATGGCCAAGCTGCAGCACTGGGCGCACCGGATGTTCCCCAAGATGCCGTTCGACTCGGCGCTAGAGCGGATCGAGAAGCTGGGCAAAACCAAACCGGTGCACGTATGTCATCGTCGGGGTGGTCTCTTGAGGCTGGGAACATGCTGTGGACGCGGTGAACAGTGTTCTCAGGTGCGAGTGTTATTCGGCACTCGAGGAGCCCTTGGTTGAATCACTTGTGCCAGTTATACACCCCACGGTCTGTGAGCCAGTGTTTGCTGTCTGCTCGATGGTCGGCAGTTTTTTATTCTTCTGTGCGAAATTTGTTTATCGTAGTTGGCCCGATGCATGTAGTGATGTTCCTTTCACAAGCATGCACATCACGCCACGGCCGACGTAGTCCTTAAATCTCCCGCTGGACCGCCCAGACTAACGTGAGGAAGATCCGGATGGGCCTGTCCGTGCTTCCGACGGTCATCGACGACGACGACGACCCGACGGTGCGGGGCGCGCCCGAGGTCGACGTGTTCGACGAGCTGATTGGGGACGCGGCGCGCCACGAGCCCCGGCCGTCGTCCCCGGTCCGCGACGAGCCGTCCCAGCCGTCGCAGTCGTCCCAGGCGGCTCCAGCCACAGTGCGTGCTCAAAAGGCCCGGCGGCAGGCGGGCTCCGTCCAGGGCTTGGTTTGTTGGCGCGTTTTACGGCCCAAAATGGAAGGGCGGAGCCGTGGCCACTATTGGTTCGTTGGTGTGCCATCTGTTGCAAACGTATGCGAATGGCGAGGGAGGAAGCCGCTTTGGGATTGGGTGTCTTCTGTTCACGGCGTTGGGGGAAGGCGTCGAGCACAAATAATCGTGCGTTGTTGGTTTCACACTTAACTCCTGTGGCGTGCATTTGCGTAGGTCTTTTAATTACCGCCAAAAGGTATTGGACGTCTTTATTGTTATGTTTGAGGATAACATTATAGTCCATGACAATGTGCATTCATGCATTCACAATTTGTGACGTATTTCCGGTTGCGTGCATTTCATTTAATTCGAATCGAGGTTTTGCATTGTGGGTGTGCGATTTCTATGCACACATTGTGTGGCTAAGTGCCATTGTCGCTTCGTCATGGAGCGTACCATTCGGAACATTTGTGATCCGATCCTCCCTGTGATGGCCGCGCCGGGACGCGAGAGACCGTTGCCCACACCGCCTGTCTGCCGCAGACCCTCTCGGAAGAGCAGCAGGAGCGCATGCGGAAGAACAGGGAGCTGGCGCAGCTGCGGCGGATGCGCGCCCAATTTTCCAGCAGCAGGCGCAGGCTCGGGCGTCGCCGTCTGGACCGGCACAGATGGCGCCCCAGCTGACTCCGGCGCCGGGTCCGCCGAGGTGGAGCTCCCGGCGTCGCCGCCACCTGGACCGGCACAGGTGGCACCACAGTCGGCCCCGGTGCCAGGGTCTCCGCGGGAGGCGGTGCGGTCTCCGCCGCCGACCGCGTCTCAGGACTCCCAGGGAGATGACAGCGCTACTGCCGCGACCTCGTCCCAGTTGCAGTCGCCGCTCCCTGGCGAGTCACAGTCCCAGTCCTCCCCCACCATGTCCCAGGTGCAGTCTCCCGTCCCTGTACAGTCCCGGTCGGCGTTCTGGCCCGCAGACGGTTCCCAGCGGAAGGCCAGTGTTTTCGGCGAGTCCCAGCGTCGGGCTTGTGACGCGCCCAATCAGGCGGCCGAGTCTCCTGAACACCAGCGTGGTCTACTCGAGGAGCACGGGCGTCCGCTGGCGGGGCTCGATGCGTCGAGTTCCGGGCCGATGGAGCTGGATGCGGAGCCGGAGACCGTTGCGCCTCGTGCGGGGCACTTCCATCAAATGTCGGAGGCACCAGCCGTGGCCATCGCTCAAGAACAGGACTCCAGCGTGGAGCGTGTGGGGCATCTCCAAATGCCGGGGGCACCAGCCGTGGCCGTCGCTGAAGAACAGGACTCCAGCGTGGAGCGTGTGGGGCATCTGCACCAAATGTCGGAGACGCAAGCTGCGAACAGTACGGAGGTTCAGGAGACCAGCGCCCCCCGTTTAGGTCATCTTCACGAAATGTCCGAGACGGCAGCTCCTGCCAGTGTGGTGGATGCTGGTATGGACTCGGAAGGAGAGTGATGACACCGTGTCGTGCGCCACTGCCTTGTGATCGACAGTGTGCTCCGCGTACAGCTCGCCCTCTCAGACGACTGGTCTGTGATGTGTGATGCCTTTGAATTGCAATCCGTTTACTGAAAAAGGCTGCGTGTTTTCATCAGGGCGTGTCTTGTTTGGAGGCTGGATGTCGCCCTAATCACTTCCGTGGTGGAAAGCAGTCGTGCCTCGCGCTGATCGTCAACGCTGTGTCGATCTGCGTTGCGGCCGTCTTTGCACGCCGTGATTGGGTAGACGAGATGCTACAATAAACTCGAGATCAAGCGTGGCCAACTGCTGCGATGTCCTCGGATTGTCAGCTGTCGGGACGTCTCAACTGCTGCCCGCTGACGTCATTTGTCAGCTCAGCATTCCGTGGACAGACTCGGTTCCTCCCTCCACACCTCACCCCAGCACCTTGGAGTTCGCTCCGTCTGTGCGGGCATGTTGCGGGTCAGCCACGAGCCGGCGTGACGGCTGTGCTGATAAGGCCCCGCCCCCGGGCGTCCGCACACACACACGTAGACGGGGGCCCTCCGCGGAGTGAGGCTCTGCAGTGGAGGCCTCCACGACGGCCGCAGTCTTGCCTCGCCACTTACCTTCCCTCTCAATCACATGGCCCTGGAATCGTCTTACGGGTTAAAGGACCGTAATCCATCCTGAAGCGGGCCAAGCCTTCTATCCTCGTTGCCCCAATGAGTGCCGCCGCCAACCACGCCAGCACACCACAGAGCAGACCACTCTGCAGGCTGCTGTGGCCAGAGAGCTGACCCCATCAGCGAGATCGCTGGGTGGCTGCTGCTGGGTGTGCAGCACCATCGAATCTATGCTGAAGTAGCCGTCCGCCGTGTTCTGCGTCCCGACGCTGAACTGAGCCGATTCATTGACCCGAAGCCGGCGCTGTTAGGAATGAGAAGTGGCCGGAGCGGCTGATGCTGATGAGTCCATGGCTGATGCTATTTGGAAGGGCAGGAGGACCCAATCGTTAGTGTTTGACCTCTACATTGTTTTGCTTTGATATAATTTGTTTTAAGTTCTCGTTGCTGGCTCTTCTGTCATGAGCGGCTGAAAGCTTGCAAATGTTTGTCTGAAGAGCTTCGGATTTTTCGCTGATTCTTCTGCGGACAGCACGATCGTGTTTTGTAATCAAACATCCAAGTCTAAGTGCGTTTGTCATTCGGTCGCTGTCGACGTATAAATCGTATTCCGGTCATCGACCTGGTCAACTGGTGCTGGAATAGGTGTTTGTTGCGCAGAGGTCATCATTGCTGATTTGTTCTCTGTGAGTTATTTATACGATGACGTCATTTGGTACTCATTGGTATTTTGTATCAATGTTTCTGTGTCTCTGCCTCCTCGCTTAACTGCCACTATGCCCTGCATGAAAAGAGAAAGGCATACGGATGGGCAGCGCCGCGTCACGGCACGGCGGGGCGGTCACGAGGCGGCGCCGACACCAAGGCATCTTCTGCTCCGAAAACCAAGTAAATGTTGCGGCGATGTCTTAGCTTGCTGCGTACATGATGATCATTCTTATAAAGCGTGGAACTCTTTTCATTACCGGCCGTACTATAGGGGTTGATACGAAGGCGAGCTCATGTCATGCTGTGAACATAAGCCTCGCATTTTCTCACGGCAGCTATCACGTAAGTCCACTGTAGCGTGTAGTCGCTGGGAAGTGAATCTGAGATGGCATCGTTGCTTTTGAAGTGGCCGCTTGCGGCCGCCCAGTGCCCGGTGAACGATTCTCGAATATGAGCAAGTCTGATGAGCTCAAGTGGGTTTCACGAGGCCCTCGTTCGTGTTCGGCTACGCCGCCAACGCTCCGTTGACCGTGAACGGCGGCGGCCTCCTGCCCGGCTGGTGGCGCCCCTGGCGGCGGCCCAGCCGTGCCCTGCGGCGTTCCGACCCGATCCCGGGAGATATGTGGGCTAGACGGGGCCGCGGTACTTTTGCAGCCGATAACGAGCCACTGGAGCGCTGTTGGAGAATCGTCGAAGAGCTCCCGAAGGCTGTTCTGCCCTGCGATAAATCCTGGCCGGCCGGAGCCACGGCTATGGCGTTTTCCGCGCTCGGTGCTCGCTTTAGCTTGCAAGGCGTGTGCCCCCAATGATTCAGCGAATCGTCGCCGAGAGCGTTTTGGCTGGTGTCGGCCGTCTTGGCAGTCATCGCATGTGTGCAGAAACAGGCTGCAGATGGGTGTAGCTTGTCTCGTTGGCTCCCTTTCGTCCACGTGCTGTTGCTCCTTGGTACGCGTCATACAGTGACAAGGTTCTCCTTGCAGACCACCACCCATTATCAAGGATGCCTGTTGAAAATATGAATACCAAATGGCTATAAACAGCTGGGGTACCGTGTGCTTTAGTATGGCTGGGTGAGTTCATCCTTTCTTTGAGTACCTCCGGGGTCGGTGCCTTTGACGTGGCTGGTGGGGGGTATCTTGAGCCCTTCCGAACGACCGTCCCTAAAGGTCACTATGTTTCAGCTGACCGTCGCCGCCGGACCAGCCGCCCGGGCCAGCTGGTCAGGGCTGCTCTGATCAGTCGGCTTTGGGCCGCCTCAGTCCGCTCTGGACCCGTCTTATTCGAGCCAGCAGGGTCGGCCCGCCGTCGTGTTCACATGCAGCCCAATCGCCGGGACCCAGACGACGGAGACGCCGTTTAGTTCCCACTGACCCACTCCGAACATCGGCGGTGTGTGGATCAGCTGCTGGTTGCGAAAGCCACCCGCAACAAATCACCGAGCGGGTGCGAATGCATTTGTCACTGAAGTCAGCACATCCTCGGGAGCATTCGAGGCACCGGTCGATAACAAAGACATCCACAGCCTGTCCCGACTTAAACTGACAAAGGCAGCGGGGGCCCCGCGCAGCACCTGCAGCGGGCGCCCACATGGACACGTTGTATGGCCAGAGAACACTACGATATCGACCATCACCTCGCCTCGACCGCGTTCTGCATCGGTGGTGCCCCCGAAGGTGGGAATCATCGCTCGCACGGCTCCTTGCTGGTTACCTCCGGGCCCTCTCCGCTTCGCTAAGCTCCGCCGAACAGTGCGCGATAGCGCCAGCTGGCAAGGAACTCAACACCTGCCGCCGCAGCCGGCCAGAGCGCGATTAGATAACGCTGCCAGATCGCCTGTTCCCCTGTCACCTTGGGTGCCCAAACAGCTGGCGCTGTGCGCACTGCTTGGACGCAGGTGCGACTTCCGCTCGGGCTGATGCAGCCCACAGCGGCGCCAATGCGGGCCGGCCGTGACTTAGACAGTCAAGTGCAGACTCATGGCCCGTTAAATCACGGCGTGCTAATTTAATCATGTCGCTCGCAGGGCCTTTCCAGAAATACCTCTGGCGAACAGTGTAAACAGCCTGGAACATGTTCATGCATGGATGCTATGCCTATTGTAGAGGTAATTGCGCGAAATAAGCATTCATGGACGTGCAGTAAATAGTCGCAGCCCCGGCAGAAACGTTTTCAGGTACCACAGGGCGTGTATTCCCCTTCTTTAAATTTGCAACCACCCATATATTTAAGCGGGCGACTGCAGCCAGCACCGCGCCCAACAATTATCTCCGGCCAGAGAGGCTCGTGGAGGATTTACGATTCCAGCTGGGGCATGCAAATAGCCGCACAATTACTGGCGTAATCGCTGCCCCACGAACCTGGCTACAGTTAGACACCGACGGTTACTCATGCTTGTGGGAGCCGGCAGCCTACTGTATTACGCAACCACTCAAGAAATTAGCTGGATTAATTTGAGCCGGCCGTGGTTGCCTTTGCTGGTGATGGGCGTCAGTGGCGTTCTCAGGGCGGGTCGAGAGGGGAGCGTTATTTTGAGGTGGGTAGAGCTTCTTACTGGGGACACCCCACCTGCAGCGCGGAAATGAGCCATCAAATGATTTGCGTAGTGAAAAGCATGTACACCCCCGAAAATGGCCTGAATTCGCCCTCGTCGTAAATTGGATGATCTGGTCTGATTTGTAGAGCCTTCACTCGATGAAGACACTTAATAATGTGAACAGGACTCTAGGTTATCAGGGGAGATCAAGGATTTTGGTCGCATTGTGATCTTTGTCTCACTGTCGACCGTTGTGCCCAGTTACTGCGAGTTCAGGATCCTGTTCTCTGGTGTTATTTATGGGCTTATTACCTACGTAAGACCGTTCCAGTCCCTGTTTTGGGACCTGTTCTCACTGTCCAGC